AAACGGTGGTTATAGGGTTTTATGGGTGGGGAATTAAGACACGCAGTGGAATGTACTTTAATAAATGCTAAATGAATTTTTATTTTACTGTATAAAGAAGTGTTGTTGATTTATACATGTAGATTTTCCTAATCTATATTGTCTTTTAACCTACTGTGGAAAAACCCGATTATCAAATTGCAGGTTTTTTGAATTTCCCGAAAAACTGAAATGGTGGTTAGGAGATCGTCTACTTCAACTTACCTGGGGTCCAACTTACCGTCCTGGAGTAAGATTAGCATAGGCATTCGCCCGGATTAGTTCGGTTTACCTTATAGAAATAAAGTTATTCCTCAAATATCGTTGGAGTTAACGTTCCGAAACCTCCCCAAAATTTAGATTCTCCAAAATACTATATACACATATATCCCGTTCGTCATCCCAAACGGGCTAATATATCTGGACCTTGTATCCTCACCCATGTCAATATATATACTGAGGAAAATGTATACACATTTTAAATGATTGTAAACTTGGTGTTTATAATAATTTTATTATTTCAAAAATGCAAAAAGATTTAGAAGTATCATTTTATTGTTTTTCTCGCTGCAATTTGACAATATTTTAAATACTTGAATTGATAGAAGCCACTGAACATGAATGCGTCCAAATAGCAAGGAAATTGTTACATGCTATGTGCGATTCTATTGCTTCGCGTTGTCTGCAGTGTCTGGATTAATATGAACGTCAGTTTGAGAAAATTTAGCGGAAAAACAATAAAGTGCTACCTGCAAATGTTTTTAAATTTTTGACATAATAAAATTATAATAAACACCAAGTTTGCAATCATTTAAAATGTTTATACATTTTTGGGACACCCTGTATATAAAGGTGGCAATGGCGTTTTGATGGACTTCCGACATAGCAACTAACCGATTTTTCTGCTACTGCATGATATAGCCATTTAACGAGTCGCCCAGTATCTTGTAGGCGGTTTATAGTAGACGAAATCCCAAGAACAATACTAAAAATATCGGACACTATTGAGGGCAAGGTATGAAGTTAATTGACCAGGATTTAAATAAAGTAGCGAGGGATACTCTGCATCCAGGTAACATGCAGGTTTTCTTAGGATCTCAGTGTTTTGCTCGACCTTTTACTTTTCGCTGTTACTGATGGCCAATGCGTTGGCTGCGCAAAAGCTATTCATGCAGTGTGGGTTCAACTTCCACCGAGGTTGTGAATTTTTCAGAATTGAGCCAACTGAAGCACTCAAATCTGCCAAGGCCTCTTAATAATTAAACGAGCGTAGTAGTCATTCTGATGGATTCTAGATGATTGCTTAAGAAATCCTACATGAGCAGTCAGCTTGCTGGTCTGTAATGGTAGATTCCATACGAGCAGTTATTTGGATGGGTAAAATCGATCCAAAAGTGATTAAATTCGCGGCTCACGGTGAGCCCCGTAGCTCAATGTTTGAGTGTTGGCTGTGCAAAAGCCATCACTGCTGTGTGGGTTCGACTCCCACCGAGGCCGTGAAGTTTTTACAAATGGGTCAACTGAATTAAATAAGTCTGCCAGACCCCCTAACAAATGCAAAACAGTACTAACCTTGCTCGTTAAATGAATTTCCTTGTGTAATTACCATACCCGCTGCATTAACGCCTGCTTATCAACCGACATTAAGAGGTCAGACAGAAGAAAGAACAGGAAGCCATCATTACAGGACACATTCCCTAATACGAATGAAATTCGCATCAAGGTTCAACTAGTGTGATCAATTCACGTTTGGCAGATAACTAGTCGTCAGTGAGTCTTGAACACTTAACCTCTTTGTGAAGACAAATTGTAAGTACCGTTGTTAATCAATCCACGTATTGAAGTTCTATTTAAGTTCGAAATAGTATTCACTTTCAAAATCGATGTGGGCTCGATGATTTGACCGGCCAAGCTCGATCCACACTCCTAGAGCCCTCAAATTTGAGTATTAATTCCAGTACGTAGATTAACCGAACCCAGTACGCGCATTATCTGCGCATGAAAAGGGTCACCTTCGAATATGAAACCGTGAAGTGCTGGCACTAGTCGAATTTCGAAACGTATTTCGTTGCTATAAGGATCAACGGTTCTAAAGACTTTATTCCATTATGCGAACTAGCAAGTTTCGAATGGTTCAGCAGTCTTGGGCACAGTTTGTGTAAATGTGGGAAATCAGAAAAAAAGGAACCAATAAAAAAGTTGTCATTCGAAGGTGGCCGGTCATACGTTGCATGGGGCTGCACTCTATAATGAGCGTGAATAGGGACCGTAACCACGAGTCCAACTGTTGTATCCAACAAGGTCTTTCGTGTGCACCAGGGCAAGGTGGCGCTGGGATGTTGACTTGTACGTGAGACAGA